AGCCAGCCCAACTGCGTCGACATCCCGCGCAACATGAGCCTCTGCCACGGCATCGGCTACACGCAGATGCGCCTCCCCAATCTGCTGGACCACGACACCATGGCCGAGGTGTCCCAGCAGGCCGCCTCGTGGCTGGCGCTGCTCAACGTGCAGTGCCACCCGGACACGCAGCTCTTCCTCTGCTCGCTCTTCAGCCCCGTGTGCCTCGACACGCCTATCTACCCGTGTCGCAGCCTCTGCGAGAAGGTGAAGATGCACTGCGAAGGCCGCATGAACAAGTACGGCTTTCCGTGGCCTGACATGTTCAAGTGCGACAAGTTCCCTCTGGAGAACGACATGTGCATCACGGCGCAGTCCAGCTCCGACGCTGCCGGCGGTGAGTTCTCGGGGATTAGCGTTCTGGTTCGGGGAAGATGCATTTGTTTTCCAGCATTTTTCATTGTACCCTCTGTTTTTTTTCTGCTCTTTGCGGACACCTCATTGGCTAGTGCATTTTGTTGTATGACTTTTACAGTGATTTGTCTTCACGTGATAAAAGACTCCTATCTCACTTTCTTCCTTTACTTGACGTTTAACCACATCCTCCTCGAGATTACTTACATGTATTTTTTCTTGCATCATGTTAGAGAGATGTAGCTATACTTCGATGCATTATCACACACAGAAAACTTTTACTAATAGCAGTAGATGTTTAAGTTAAGAGATTAGCGACTTATGAAGTTTTAAGAGGTATTTATATTTAAGAAATGTTTGCACAGGACGATAAAGTAGTATATATTCAGTAAATATCAGCTACAGACGTTCATTTTAATCCTTAAACAATTGTAGGTAAACTCTCTTAATTTTTGGATAATTGTTTTACAACACCATGAAATATATTTTGTTGGATATTAACTAAGTATCTTCTGTGTCTATTATTAAAAGTGCTCTAGAAGAAATGAAAATCCAAACATCCAAGACAAAACATTATTAATATTTGAATCATGTTCCCTGTTAATATTAAGACAAGAGAACTTTGGATTCATCAAATGTGTCTGAATAAATGTTTTGGTAATAACATTTCGAACATATGTAGGCCACAAAAAGAAAAATAAATTCTTCGTTCTCTCGTGGAGTGGTCTCTGTATGTGACAGCAGCAACCGCACACTAGGTGGTCCACTGTATACTACCTTCCATGTTTTACTGCACGCGGCCGGGGCAGATCCAGCATCAGAACAGCATGAAATAAAATATTTGACATCGGCAGACAACTTGTATCTTTTACTGATGTGAGACATATTCTGCACTCCAGAATGCACATTTTTCATTTGTAGAATTATCTTCAATGATTATTCTCTTTGCATCATTATTGTTTTTACTGTATTTAAACAATTATCGGTATTTTAAGCCAGTACCCAGCAAGACGTACCTGTAAGATTTAAAAAATAATTAGTCCTCACAGAATTATTTTAAGACATTTCCAGGAATTTTACCTACATTTGAGGTGTTTCCAACAAAATTTGACAAAAGTTAGAAGGCAAAATGTTTGCTATCGACATTTCAATTTATATTCTCTTCATTCTTCAACAATAATACTGTATGAACTTCATTATTTTGGAAATAACTTAATCTATATCTTAATCTAGGTAATTAAGTTAGTATATCCTATTGAAGAACGGCTTACAAAAATAAAAAAAAACATCAAAAGTAAAATAAATGATTTAAAACACCATATCACACACTATAGACACTGTGTAATCTGGGCACTTTTCTTAATATATAATGTAATAAATGCTCAACAATGAGTTGAAAAAGTTTTAAAAAATTGTTAGATTTTTATACCAGTCACTAATTATAATATTTGTAATTTCATGTAGTTAATTGATGGGTTCCACAAGCCGTATTAATTTCCTATTAATTTGTTGAGAAGCAAAATATGAGAGGCACCAAGTAAAAAAAGATCCGAAGCAGCATCCTAGGTTAGAGTATTAGTATTGTAGTGCTCCTAACATTTTTACTCACTGGGCGAACAAATTATAGCTTTACCTTAGATTTTAGAATACACTAGAGAAAATTAAAAAAAAAAAAGTTCTTCCTGGAAATAGAATTTTCGATACACAAACGTCTCGATCTTTAAGCTATTAGGCAATTATTAAAAACTTATTCCACCTGCTTGACACAAAATTACTCTACAATCCTCAACCAAAAGTACTTGGTTTTGTTGGTGTTTCAAAACCCACTATTACTTCGGCCGACACTTTTGTTTCAATTTCTTCAGAATATGAGTAATTACGGGATGTACTGGTATTCTGAGCTGAATTCTGAATCTTCATCGGAACAAGAATCTCAACTATACCGTGGGTTGTTGCCTGAATGTCCTTTTCCTAGTGTCTCTGCAAAGAGGAATAGAAAATAAGGTTCCATAATACATTCAATCAGGTATGTAACTGAATTATAGTATTCTTTGCACAGTAGGAGAACAGGAGTGAATAACTTTGATGAGGCACCCTGTTACTTCCAATGTGTAATATTATGTTTAGTTTTACGACTCGAGATGGCTAATAAAATACTGGATTAGGTTTTGTATGAAACGCGGATACGAATTAAAGACTAAATAAAAAATACTCTGAATTATATATGATATTCTATACGTAACTGGCGTAGCTAACCTATTTTGTTGCCAAGTGCTATTTTGAATTTGAAAATTTGTGGCAATCGATATTTAAAACTGTAAACTCTTTTCAATAAGAAAATATAATGTACGTTTAGTGACAACTTTGATATACTCGTACATGACTTATACGTTAGAATATCTGAAGGTCTTGGGAAAGTAGGTAATTCTCATGAGCGACAGCAAGCCTCCCGATATTCGTCAATTTTAATACCTCGATATTGGTCGAAATATATTTCATCTTGTTACTACTCTGTGCCCTTCATAAATATGGACAACACATGTATAAAGACAATATAACGACAATATCACCCAAACACTTAAATATAGCGGAAGGCTTGCTGTGGTTGGGATGACTTATGGTGATACTATTCAAGCCATTTATTTGCCCACAGTGTTTTTTTTTCAGAAATTAGTGCGAATTGTTTATTGGGATGCAATTTTAATTAAATTACTGTAAATCAATTTAATGATATTATAACGGGTTATAGTCTTATTTAAGGGGTGGGGGTGCTCACTGAACGAACCTTACGTAATACACTTGTATTTCAACTGTATTCACTCCCTAGAAAAATGGGCCTAGGATTAAAATAGGATTCCCAAGATCATTCCTTAAAAATAATTTTAAGAAAGACGTATGATACTTAACATAACGGACTTTTAGATTACAAATTTACTTTGAAACAATATAGATACTTAGTAAAAATTGCTTCGGTTAACAAAAAGTGTAAAATCTTGTAAATGTTTTTTTCGCAAAGTAGTGAAAGTTTTAAATTTGAAAATAGCTCAGTTATTTTAAGTTAAAAATATATTCTAGGAATCTTAATGCAACGGCTTGAGACTTCTTTTTGATACCGTTCACAAGTTGCACACAAGTTTTCATTCTTATCGAAAATATGGTCATGTCGTTATGACCAGAGTTGTATGCATTCATCCACAGATAAGCGACATTGCTTAGTTTCGTCACAATCGAATTATTCCTGAAGAACGCAGTACGATAACACTGCACATCAAATTACTACATTTATATGCATTTTAAAAACAAGATAAGAACTTGCATCGGTGTTATCTCCCACGTGAGTGAACCGTAACACAGACGTGAAGAAAGATGATATCATTATCGTTAATATACCAGTTAACTGTGGTTTTCACAACTACTGACAATGAATTCGTAGAATTATACGTAGCATCACACTTCTTGGCAATTTTTTTCTTTCTTCAGACAAAACGTCATAGTGAATGCCGTAAGAGAAATAAATTAACCTGTTCATTTCAATTTTCGTGCCACTACCTAGCTTCATCGAAAATTTAAACAAATTAGAAATTAGTTGAAAGGCTGAAAGTATAGTGTTTCGTTGCAATTTAGACCTTGACGTTTAGAGAACTAATACAGGTAAAAGTAACAATTTTCGAACATTTCTGTCTAGATGCAAAGAAGCGTTGTTGAGATGAGATTAGATGAGTAGAGTGTGCGGAAAGGGGATTTTTACACTGCGAAGACGCTAGTTGAGGATAAGCTTCCGGCGGCAGTGGCGACGGAAACAGGAAATCGCACTTGCGAGACTGGCAGCGAGGATGAGAGCAACGACTAAGCAAACTGCAACATGGCGCATCTCTAGATATGCCAACTCGGTCTGGCGACGTCGGAAAAGGTGACTGCATTTGGACGGGGGTGGGTACGACGCACGGGACGTTGACGGCGGAGGCGGTGGCTGCAGGGGAGAAAGCGACGAGGCTCACACTTCGCGGGGCAGGCGAGGCATCTGACAACCATTCCCTGCTCCACCCTCATCCCTCATCACCGTCCACTCTGGCTGCCGCCCCCGCTGCGCGCTCGTCTCTGCGCCCCCGCCAATCGATGATTTGCACGCGGAGGCCGGATTGAGGGCGACAGCGAGGCGAGAGCGCTCGACAGGCGCGGAGAAAAAGGGCTGTGGGGGGAGAGGGGGAGGGGAAGGGGGGAGGGGGCGGAGGCGCGGCGCGCGAAGGGTGGGCGTTGGAGCGCACCAAGGCTGTTGTATTCGTGCAACGGCCTGCTCTACTTGGTTTTGGCTGCGTGACAGCTCCGTTTGGCTCGATGATCCTCTTATGGTTCCGGCGTTGTAACAGTGACGAAGGGGCGCGCGCGAGTGGATCGAGAGGCATGACGTGAGAGAGCGCGAGGACGCGAGGTGGTAGCGGAGGCGCGACCGCCAAGAGAGACGCGAGGCGACGCGCGTGGCAAGAGAGGAGCGAGGTGCTAGACGTGGTACGAGCGGAGGTGCTAGCGGTGTGGAGCGCGAGGCGATGTGGAGACGGAGGTGGAGGTGCAGCGGAGGCGGGGAGGCGCGAGGCGGAGGCAGGAGGCGCGAGCGTAGGGGCGGAGGCGGCGGGAAGCGGAGTGAGGTGTGAGGCAGGCGAAGGCGGAGGCGGAGGCGGAGGCGGAGGCGAAGGCGAAGACAGAGGCGTGAGGCGCGAGGCGTGGGGCGAGAGGCGTCAGGCGGGCCGGCGCGGACGCGACAGGCACGGCGCGAAAGCGACAGGCGTAGCGCAGATGCAACAGGCGTGACGTGCAGCCTGCGTACGCACTCGGCAGGAAACAGGCGCGACAGCGCGTCGACAGATGTGGCGCCGGGTGGGTTTTTGCGGCGCAGATTCCTGTCTTGCGTCTCGGTAGTCGCTACCGATGCATCTTGCGGTCGAGTGAAAAGGTCGGGACTCAATCCACACACGGAGCGGGCATGCT